CATATTTTTTTTCTAACTCTTTTGTCTTTTTGGCTTGCATTGGAGTACTAGGTAAGCATTTAATTGCTTTAGCATACCACATGCTTGTGATTGTTGCCACGTCATCAAAGATAATTCCATGAGGCTAAGTGCTTAAATGATATATTTGTTTGAATGCTGGTGGATGAAGGCTAATTGCTTGAATTGGAATAAATTGATTAATGTACAATACAAACTCACTTTGTTAAGTAACGCGTATTCAAAACAATTTTCAAACAAACATGAAATCAAAGTGTTCCAATTTTTGCAAATTAGTCTATACTTGTGTATGTCACATAGTAATGCTAGCCTAATAAATCGGAACAAGAGCATATAATGTAAATAAAATTCACATCATGATTAGTAGAGGCCGATCTTTGATCGGGCGACTGTGGTGCTCACTTTATGACATTCTCCTCTCGTACTTAAGTTCTCGAGCTGAGACACTTTGGCGATGATGGATACGTGGCCTTTGGCACAAGTCTCAGGTTTCCTAAATTTGCCAAGAATATTTAGGTGGCGACTCTATAATCTGGCAAAGCAGTCCATTTTTGACGTTTTTTTATTCAAAATTGATTTTCTAAAAGATTTGCCGATTTGGACTCATTTGTGTTTATCTATTTCACATTGCACTTGTGGAATCAGATTCAGAACCACAGGAGTCCAAACTGTAGGTCTAGTCGTATCCGAAAGGAGCACGAAAAGCAAGCTACACATTGTTAGTAAAGGCCGATCTTTTAATCGGGTGAGCGAGGGTGCTCAATTAATGACATTCCCCCTTCATACCTAAGGTTCCAAGTCAAGCATCCTTGGTTATGACGAACAATGGCCTTGGCACGAGTCACGGGTTTCTTAATTTTTCCAAAATAAATATTAGGTGGCAACTCTGAGATCTGATGACGGAGCCCATTTCTAGCAAATGTTTTTATAATAAAATGGATTTTCTAAAAGTTGCCAAATGTGGACTCTCGTCTACGTTTCACATTGCACTCGTGAAATTAGATCAAAGAGATCGAGGGTCCGAACTGTTTAACGCGCATAGGTACCCCCCTCCACCTGAGTATGTTACAATACTTCCATTTCTACTGGCCTACAACATGGATGGCAAATGATAAAACCCACATAGCATATAACACTTTACCAGCCTCACCTGGAGGGGAACGACCCCAAGGTCACACTTTATTGGGCACAAACCGAAAGGAAGAGGATCTTATCACAAGGCGCCACACTTTACCAGCTCAATACGGAGAGAAACAAACCTCCTTTTACACTTTACCAGGCGAAAATTGGAAGGGACGAGGAACCTTTGTCAAGGCGCCACGCTTTATTGGTCTCACCCGAAGGGAAACGGACCGCCAAACAAAAACCCAATAATAGCACAACATGATATTCTACATAATACCGTGCAAGTGTAATATATATACATCATCTACTCTACAATAACAATGCTGTCCTCCACTGATGACCAAGGAAAAAACCTCTACACAAATAAATAGATACATGACTCATACAATATAAATTCATAACTAATTCCACTTTTTCAAATCAACCGTTTCTCATTTCATTTCATAAAAGAGTTAGACTCATCGTTTTATGTTCAAAAACCAAACCGGTTAAACCAAATCTCCAACGGTTCCAAACCATAGCTAAACCTCTTTTTGTTTAACAAAAATCTCATTTTTTAGCAACCAAGCATTTATTCAATCCCCTAGAGCACTTGCTCAATCTCATAACTCATAGCTCACTTATTACCCAACTTTACCTCTTTTTGTTTATTAATTCTTAATAATAAATTAGGGCTTTTGCCACAATCAACATAGACATGATTAAGTACCTCCCAACATACCAAATCAATCATCAATCATACATTTCCAACTCCTAAAGCTCAAACCCCTAAATCCCCTTTCATGCTTTTGAAAAAAATCTCTTAACAAACATATTTTTAAATGCAATAAAAAAAAAAAAAAACCCCATGTCTATCTATAAAGAGGTATTGAAGAGGAGGAGCAAAAGAATCCCTACCTCTTGAAGCGAAGAGAAGATAACCCAAAAATCACTGATAACGAAATGACGATCTGTTCAGATTAAAATGAAGCCCTCACCAAGCTCTTCCTTTTACTCGAAAGCCATATGGTGGTGAAATCAATGGATTAGGGTGCATGGAAGGGTTTTAAATATTTTAGAGAGAGAGAGAGCAGATGAAAAAGTGACCAAATACCTTTCTCCACAATTTGATATACGTACAAATCCTTCGAGCGACCAAAACAAATAAATGAGACTGCTTGAGCGACCAAAACAAGGCTTGAGCACACAATGACCCCCTTCTAGAAGTTTTGTAGACTGTAAAAGATTGCTCGAGGGTAGGAAAGACCACTCGAGCAAACCTGAAGAAAAACATGCATGATTTCCTTTGAAAAGTGAACTACCAATCTGTTCATAACACAACCAACAACACCAAAGTCCACAACAGCTAAACAATAAAGAATATAGACAACGATAAAGAGTATTGGATCTAGGCTCCAAGAACATGAAAGGGTCCAGTCAAACCCAACCCATTATCACCTACAAATGCCGCCACCTCCTCATCTGCTTTAAAACCTTAACCTAGCCACCTTTTCCCGTTGCGAACCCATGAACCCCCTACCTTACTTTTTTTCATTGGAACCTTAGAGCTAGGGTTTTCAAATCTAGGGTTTAGGGTAAAGAAGAAGAAGAAAAAGAAGAAGGCTTGCATGATAAGGATGAGAAAAAAGAGAAGGGGGTCGCCGGTAGGAAGGGGTGTTGTAGTAGGGGAAGAGGACGTTGGTGGGAGAGGGAGGTTATGGTCAAGAAATGTTAAGGGCTGGTCACAATAGTACCAGGAGAGAAATGAGTAGCGGTTTGGCATTGACAGTGGTAGAGATGATGCTGGTAACTGGGTATGTGGATGGAATATAAGGTTAGGATTATTTGGAATGCCCAATGGAATGTACCAAAATTTGAATTTTTGATTGGAGAGTTCTAAGTAATGAGATTCCCAACCAAACTTTTGGGGTGCATTTAGAAACACTCTTAGTGTAGACTGTTAGACTTTTTATTTTTTCCCAAATACCCTCCAACCCTGATAACGACTCCCAACTATTTTAATTCTCTCAAATTTAACTGCTTCAAATAATTACCATATTACCATATTTAATTATTTCAAATAATTAGTATTGGAAATTTATGTTTGCACCACATTTAAACCATCTAATTCGAAAGTGACACGTGGCAGGTAAGGATTTTGCGATATTTGATAAGACAGTGAAAAGTCCTACCTTCGAAGGTGCCCAAAGTAAGCTGCGAATGCAAGTATTCAACCGATAAAATGATGAGCAACATGTGAGAGACACGTAAAGAAGGAGTTAACAAGAAGCAATTGCTAGCAATTATACACGCGCGAAGAGAAAATTATGGCCTTAGGAAGTAATGAGAAGAAAGGAGATTATGGTGAAAGATGATGACCTAACTGCTTCGAAGGCATTAGAAAAAGGTTATAACTAGATGAGAGCAAGGACTAAGAAACCCCGACCAAATCTAGACTCGAAGTCTTTGTCAATTTCATTTATCTTTAAATTTCAACACTTTACTTTTATGTAATGCACTTACATTTCATATGAGTATATAAACTTTGTAATCCCAAAACTCGGTCAGTTTAAAACTTCGAAGTTGCCCTTACTAAAGATAACATTTTGTAATTGTTTATTCGATTAATTGATTGTAATTTCTGCCCAGTTTCTCCTTTCCCATTCTGTTACAAATTTGAGTTAAAGCATTGGTTCATCTTTTCAACACAACATAGTAAATCTTCTTCATTGAGGTTAAGAGAACCTTAACACAATCGGTTGATAAAATTGACATTTATTATCTATACAGATTTTTTAATCTTTGCTGGCACGCTCAAATTACATTTCTAACCTTCGAAATTTCAAAAATAGCCAATAATTTCACACACTCTAATCTATTCTATATTATAAAACATACAACACAATAGGCAAAAGTTGGGTAACCTTAATGATTGGTCCAGTGAGCAAAACTTGGGAACTGAAGATGCACTCCTTCTAAGTTTTAGGTTCAATACTCATTAGTAATAATAAACTTCTTGAAGCCATGTTTATATATGCCCCACAAGTGGACAGTAAAATTGATCTTTCAAAATTAGTGAAGATACGCATAAATTAAATTAAACATTTGTTTGTAAGAAATGATAATAATAATAATAAAATAGATGAAGTCGGGTCACGTCACGTTTTTTGGCGCCACCAGTAACCTCATAATTTCTACCCATGGGTTCAGGTGGGGGCAGGAGTAGTAGGTGGACTAACAATGACAAATTTTTGTTGAAGGAAGGAAGGACCACGTAATGTAATTAATGTACACTACATTCCCAATCAATGAATAAAATAATACATCAAATCAAATCAAATATGTTATTAGTATTAATTAATTAATACAAGAGAAATGTTAGGAATCATAAAAAAAATTTTATGAAAATGATCATGAAAAATTTGTGATCCTTAGATTACCTTGATTAGCGTGTGGTGTTTTATTTTAAGTGTAATCTATACGTCACAAATTTTTCATGATCATTTTTATGAAAGACTTTTCATGATACCTAACATTACTGTGCTTTAACGCAATAATGCAGGCTACCCAACTATCTGATTATTGCCGGCAACATTCTAAATAAATTCTTCCCCAAACTGAATCTTTTTTTATTGTTTACAATTACAATAGAAGTCAAACAATCAGATTTTCAGTTCAACCATGATGCTGACATACCAACCACGTATATGCTTCTCTTATGAATCCCACAAAAAAATACAACCTTTGCTTCTCTAATTAATTTTTTTTTATAATTTATTGAAGTTATTTCTGTTTCATAAATTATAAGTTTTAAGAAATATTTTTAAAATAAATGAATTAGAAATAGTTTCATAAGCAGCCTGATTAGTTTTTGTTTTTTTATCAACATAAATGTCATCACTACTACCCATCTTTTGCTTTTCTTACTACTCTTCCCTCCTTTTTTTAATTAAAATTCACATCCAAGTCTAGTTGCTTTCCTCCATTTATTGCCTTTAAACCCATTCAGTTTTCTCAAGTTTCGGTAATTTTAGAAACAATTCTACTACAAACACATAATAAATTACAGAACACTCGGGTTGTTCGAGTGCAGGTGTTGTGTGAGTGTTCTTCAAGAAATCATTCTAGGTATGTAATCTTTAATTATATGATAGTCCTGATTTGTACATATAGAATTCAATGCTCTCTTGTTGTTCATGTTTATAGCATGAATTCCCTGTTTTAATGCCTGAATTTTACCGTGATTTGGCTCCTCCAGACAGTTGGGATTTCTGCAACGGTCATAAATTCAATTTAATGGTGAGGTAGCCTATTAACTATTTGTGTAGAGGTTTCACTGATATGGCCATTTAAGTATACATAGCTTTGTGTTATGCTTCTTTGCTGGGTTTTGAAAAGTGCTTTTCTTGAGCTCTGAGGGTGGTTTGTTTGGTTATGGAGATTACTAACAACCAAGTTGAATCAAACATGGAAGATTATCAAGTGATAGAGCAGATAGGGAGAGGTGCTTTTGGAGCTGCATTTCTTGTTCTTCACAAAATTGAGAAAAAGAAGTAAGAGAAGTTCTGTTTCTCCATCTTCCATTCACCTTTTCTTTTTTCTCCTTTTGTTTTTCATGCTTTTCACTGTTTACATTTCATTCTATTTTTGTATATGCAATGATTTGTACCTAGAAAAAATACTTTAAAATGTGCCTCAATTTTGAAATGTGTGAAAACAGATTATTTTGTTTAGTCCATGACACACCAAGTTTAAATCTACACTATAAATTTAAATTCTTGACACTTTTCTGCATAATCAAATTCTGATTCTGTATTAGTTCCAAAAAAAATAAAAAAAATTATGATTCTGTGTAAGCTTACCAAATTGGCTTTCCAGACAACCATGGCATTCAAAGAATTGGATTTATTAATGCTGTGTTTGGTTGGGAGATTTGGAGAGGGATTTGGAAAAGGAAAGAGAAATGGTGTGTGAAACTATGTGAAATATAGACATGATTTATTCACATTTCACCTAACTTTTCCATTTCCCTTTCTAAATCCCTTCCCAAATTCCCGAACCAAACACAGCATAAAGGATCAGTAATGCATTTCAAGAGTAAGAAAGCCAGCCAATTTTAAGAAAATAAAGCAAGGGTGTAAAGCCAGAAGAAATGTTTCACCTGATAGTTGGGATCTCATGAGCATATTGTGAATAAATGGGATAGATTATTAAAAATTCTGGAAATAATTCTAAAAAAATTGTTACTAAGGCTCTGTTTGGTATGTTTACATTTACACGTATGCTCGCAAAGTTTTTAAAAACTGGAAACAAAAGTTCATTAGTGTCTATTTTTGTTTTCTAAAAAATATTAATAGTTTACAAAATTTACTAAATTTAGTAGATAAACAAAAGCTTTTTCATTTGTTTTAAAGTCAAATTTTCAGTCTTTCCTCCCACCCCCAAACCCTCTGGCCAGCACCACCGGCGCCTTAGTTGTTTTCACTCTGTTGTCTTTTTTAGTTGAACTGCTTTTACGAAAATGGTTGAATTGGTGCATATAAAAAGTGGGATAATTATTTCTTCCTTCCTGAAAAAAGAAAAACAAATCCCTTTTAAAAGATTATTCATGAGTTTCAGATCTATCATTTGTTTCCCTCTTCCTTTATAATTTTCCATTTTCATTTTGTAGTCCTATTATTTTGGAAGTATCTATTATATTTTTTCTTTATTTGTTGTTGCATCTTGTTTAATGTGTGTGTTTTTTTTTTGTTTTTTTTTTTTCGTTTTTGTTTTGAAAGGTGTGGCAGTGGGTGGGGAGTTGTAGTGCGTAGCCTGGGAGAGGGGGGATTCTTGCACATGGCAAGACTCAAACCCTTGACCGTTTAATGTGTTGGTAAAAGTTGATTTTTGACTTTTTTAGCCAAAAAAGCTAGCTTTTGGGGGATATGGGGACGCTGCTACGCAGTCCGCGCAGCAGCGTCTGCAGTGCGGCAATTTGAGTCCATTTTGATATTCTGAACCGTTTACATTTTAGAATACGTCAAGTAGAACATGTCTGTAAAAAATCAAGTTAATCGGATATCGTTTAAGCATTCATCCATTCTCATTTGTATCTACAAAAATAAATACAAATGTATTTTAGCTTGATTAAAATAAATACAAATGTAAGTGGATGAATAAGCAAACGATATCCGATTAACTTGATTTTTTGCAGGTATGTTGTACTTGACGTATTCTAAAATGTGAACGATTCAGATTATCAAAATGGACCCTGAAATGGGCCCAAATGGCCGCACAGCAGACGCTGCTGCGCCGGCTGAGCAGTAACGTCCCCACTTTCCTTTTTTGGATAGTGACTTGGATAAAAAAAATAACTGTTTTAGCTAAAAAAGTTAAAAGCTAGCTTTTTTAGAGCTTGCCAAAGCAAGAGTCTCAGTTGGTTTGTTTTGTAGGTATGTGTTGTAGAAGATTCGTTTTGCCAAACAAACAGAAAAGTTCAAGCGCGCTGCTCATCAAGAGGTTCCTTCTTCTAAACATGTTTTAATTAAGCTCTTTTGTATATCTTTATAGATACACTTCTGATTTGGCACAACTACCTAAATATTTTTTTAGAAAGTACGTTAGGAACTGATTTTTTGACCTTTTTTTTTATTATTTAAAAAATGTATAAAAAAAATTAGAGAAGTGTGATTCAAAAGAGGTTAAAAAAAAAAAAAAAAATTAATTTTTTGCTAAGTTCCCAAAACAGGCATCATACTTTAAAAAGCCACTTTAGTAGGTGGTGGTGAGGGCTGGTTGGTACTGAAGTTTTAAAAAACAATCGCAATCGTTAAGTAGCGCCGTTACATAATGGTTGTTATGTAACGATTATCGTGGTTATCACCACTCGTTAGGGCCACTAAAGTGGTGTGACAGAAATTCACATGTGTAACAGCTGTTTCGATATTATGTAACGGCCGTAGTAGTACCATGATGGACATAACGGTCTGTTACACACTTTTATAATATTTTGAATAGAAAAAAAAGAATAACTACTCAAGTAATCCAAACCTAAAGAAAAAAATCTTGTATGAATATTTTTTTTCTTTATAATTTATTTTTTAATTTTTATTTTATTACATTGGTATGTAAAATAAAAAATATACAAACAATAGTTATATTTATTTTTATAATCATTTTATTTAATGTTTAATTGTAAATATTTTTTATTTTGTTACTATAATATGTTGTCTAAAAAATGTCTTTAAAAATAAAAAAATAAAACCAGTAGTTCAAAAATAATTTTGTTTATAACACAATTTTCATTTTTATAACCATTTCATTTAATACTTAATTGTAAATAATTTTATTTAGTTAGTTGTAAAGTGTTTTCTAAAAAAATGTCTCAAAAATAATTCTTATTTATGACACAAGTTTTATTTTTATAATCACTTCATTTAATAATTGTAATATTTTTTATTCAGTTAGTTCAGGTATTGGTCAAAAATAATTTATAGACATTTAAAATTAATTATTTTCAAGTCATTAACTATTGAAATAAAGTAAAAAAAAAATAGGGGTGACCATTGGTTCGATAGTAAAATTTTAGCCTAATAACCTTGAGGTTATAGGTTCAATATTAAGTGTGTATCCAATATTTTCCCTCTCAAACATACATTAATGTGTACTATTTTGGCGTTATTTTTTAACAATTGAAATAAAATATAAAAAACTCATTTTATAGTGATTTAAAAATATGAAATATATTGGATCATACTTAAAAACTAACAAAAATTGATCAAAATATATTTTAAACCCCAATAAATGTGATTCTGAAGAAAAAAAAAATATGCATATCAGTTTTATTTTTTTTAAATTATGCAAAAAATAAAAAATAAAAAATCACAGTTTCAATTACTGCAACTGTTACGCTACGGTTTTTACACCTCACAATCACAACCGCGTCATTGCAATTGTTATGGCGGCTTTTTGAAACCTTGGTTGGGACCTATCATTTCAATTTCTAACGTTAAAGTTGAAAAACCTAAGTGATTTGTTATTAGATCAACATTTAATTGTTCTAATTCCTAACCAATTAAAACTCACAATTTAAATCATCAAGCACGTACAAAAGTGATTTAGATTGTTATTTCAGAAAACAATAAATCGACACAAACGAGTTTTACATGAAAAAACCACAATTGAAGCACCTTCAATTGTGATAAAAAAAACCACATGAAAAAAGAAAGATTACAAAGATATCAATAAAATTGCCCGAATGCTTCCAATTTGTCTTCAAATCTTCTGTATATCTTTCACTGCAACCTTCATCTCGGAATTGATTGGATTGATGTTGAATCCACAACATCCATTGTCGAATCAACGACTGCACATAGCATCAAACTCCTTTGATTACTCTATGCTTGAATCTTCGGATTCTACTGAAGAAGAATACTCTCAAAGAAGATCAAACAAACTCCTTGATGTGTGCTTATAAGAACATGAGTTCAAAACTCAATCAAACATCAAGAAAAACCAGAAAAATATCCCCAAAAGAAAACCTTAAAACCCTTAAAGAAGATCTAGAAAACGTAATCCTAGATTTGGAGCAACTTGAGGTTTTATAGAAGCTGAGATCGTGAGGTCCGCTTGAGCGTAGGAATGGATGCTCAAGCGGGGACTCTATATCGCGTGTTCCAAACCAAGGTTCATACTCGAGCGTAAGATCCCACGCTCGAGCGTAAAAACACACCACTTAGTATATTTTGCAGACAAGCCAAAATACTATGAGGGTGGAATCTCCGCTCGAGCGCCACTTTCTCCGCTTGAGCCGGGAAGACCAAAAACATAAGAAAATTACAACTCAATTCAACCCAAGATTGTCCACGGAATTTGACAATAAGTAGGGTCCTAACAATCTCCCCATTTGTCAAATCGCGAACAAAACTATTCTAACAATTTGCCTAACAAACAAACCCAAAACACACTAACTAACACAATCAACAACCCCGACTTTAACAAAAACAAAACCACTACAAAACCACAAGAACTGAATGCAAATATGAAATACTTATAACTTGAGCAATCCACCTGTGGAAACAACCATACAAACCAAAACTGTGGAACCAAATAAATAACCAAATATATATCTAAACAACCATCAAAAGTATCCCAATATCCATGTATCAAAAACATCTCAATATCCATGCCCAAAACCCAACACTTATCCAAGCAAAAAGTAAAGTATCTCCAAGAATACTCCTCCTTTTTGTTCGGGAGAAAAACATAAGTGAAAACGGAAGTGAAAAAGAAACAAAAAACAAGAAAAAAATAATTGTGCAAACAGTATACTAGCCAAGAAAACAGATATCACAGAGCTGGTGGCTGTAGAGTTGGTTGCATTTGAAGAAGGGATAGGATCTGGGAAAGATGAACGGAGGACTGAGCAACTGACTCCTCAATGCGCCTGGATGAGGCCTCCAATGCTGTGAGCCGAGCATCGGCGGTAGTCTCAAGATCAGTATGCCTGGCCTCGAAGATATCCATCCGACCCTCCAGACGATCAAAATGTGAGACCATGGACTGCTTGAACTGACATAGCTGGCCTCAGATAGTACGAATTGGAGGAAGCTGCTCCCCCTCACCGGCAGCCTCACCTGCAGCAGCCACATCATACTCTGCCTCCTCGGCCACAGCAGTATCCCCTACACCTGCACCAGAACTACCCACTCCAGAATGGACCCCCCTGACATAAGACTGACTCTGAGAGACAGTCTTTTTAGTGAAAGGTCGGGAAGGAGAAGCAAAGTCATCCTCATCATGAGAGGGAACCTTAAACTTGGCGAGAAACCGGTTAATGAGGCAACCGTAAGGAAGACCAAGGTTATTGTGCTCAAATGTAGCAACCATTTTCTAAATGATCAAGGTGGCAAGGTCGATAGATCAGTGGTGAGCAGTGCAATAAAGGACAAAACCTTGTTCTTGATTTATCTCGGAGCTGTGGGTGGTCACAATGATGTTGGCATAAACAATAAGATTGAGTAAACAAAACTGGGGAAGGAGCTCATTTTGTTTAATCAAAGAGCCCTAGAGCCACGAACGAGACGTACCACATAAAGCAGTGGCCACCTCGTCGAAATCACAGGTGGGTCGAACAGGGAAAGGATAGAAAATAGGAAAGATTTTACTAATACCCAATAGCTCACGAATATGGTCAGGGGTAACTGTGATAGACTTAGACTTGACCCAAGTATTGAACGAAGGACCAACATCGTCAATCCTCTCCATATTACAGTAAAATTCCCACACCCAATTAAGATTTTGACGGCCCGAGAAGGAAATAACCAAATCCCTACCCAAGGGATCAAACAAAGGATGAACGTGGATGGACTCAAAAGTGTTTGGCAGAACATTGCGTCCAAGATAAACAATCCTAGAGGGGTAGGACTCTCTAAACAACTTGGTTTTTTCAGTCGAGGGAAACCGGTCTGTATTAAAAGAGGGGCGAGAGGCAGTTGACTTCTTACGTTTAGAAGTGGACATAACTAAACCAAGAATTACCCAAAGGAAACAACCACAAACCCCCCAACCCAAGACAAGAATCAAAACCAAAAACACATACACAAACCATTAGTAGCAAAGTCAAATCTATCAAAATTAAATAGCCAAGAGCAATATGAAAATCAATATGACCAACCCTCAATGAGATCACAATATATCAGAATGCAGAATAGAACAGCCAATAAGAACATAGTGACCATAACCAAATAGCCAGATAAATATAATGAAAAAACACTAGAACATAAGGCAGTGATCATACCAAATACACGACTCAATATCCCATAACTCATGAGAGCGCACAACCATAGATTCAAGAGAATGATAAACGATAATCACATTGCAACCAAAAATACTCAAATCAACAGACCATTAACAGGAGTAGTCAAGACACACAAAACTCAAACAGTATGAACAAGTATGGATGATGAAGGTGAGAGGAACAAGAACAACCAAAAACAAATAAAGAGAAGGAAAATGACAAAAGATGAGAGCAGCATACCTGAGACAACCAAGGAGTACAAGAAACAAAGTACTAAAAGGAGCACACCAATCAGCAGCCCAAGAGGGGACGATCATAGAGTCGCCAAAGGAACCCTAGGAGAGAGAGAGAGAGAGAGATAAAATTTGGGGGGAAATGGTTGAAAAGGAGAGGGTTGGGCTTTTAAATCGAACCAGTCCGCTCGAGCGAGGGTTTGAACGCTTGAGCGCGCACCAGAACACGCGTGGCTACACTCGAGCAAGGAATTAGATGTACGAGCGCCAAAAAAAACCTCTCAGAAGTTTGAACAACTCTGCAAAAATGCTGGAGGGATGAAAACTATGCTCGAGCGTGAAAGTTTCCGCTCGAGCGGGGACAAAAAAAAAAAACCAACGACCAAAACACTTTTTCTGAGCAAATAAAACCAACTCGTACTGAGAAGTGTGACTTGTAACAAAATAGAGATGAGCATAACAACAAGAATGTGACACTAAGATGGGAT